GCAGGGTCTGTGCCTCCTTTCCCCCACTAGCACAGTCTTATTAACATTAATAAAACATCTAAAATCATATCCCGACCTTACCGGAAGCCAGGGGCTGCATCCCTTTAAACCATGGATGCAGAGGTCCATTGTTCCGCCCCCACTATCTGCGATCTTGGGTGTCAGGGATCCCCTGGACCCCCCAACACCCCTTAGCTTACTCTTAACCCCCTGGGAGCTCTGAAGCTTTCGGTAGCCCCCTTATTGACCCTTCAGTCCTTCCTTTCCCTCATTACCTAACCCATAATCCCTTATCTAATGCCAAGATCGTGATCCTAATTGTGATGTTTGAAACCAGGTTGGGCCAGGGCCCCCCAGCTGTCTGCTGATCTATGGTGTATGTCTTTCCCAAGCCTATGGGCCCACTCAAGCCCATGGGACCCCGATCTGTATGTTTACCCACCCAACCTGTGGGGACCAGACTTCCAGTAATGGACACCCCTATAACCACAGCTCCTCATGTATATACACGTATAAACTTGTTTATGCTTTTGTATCACTTTATGAAATTATTGAAGAGGTTGCCAACTTAGTCTTGCCATGACCTTTGCCCGCATTTTTTCTGTCCTGGGAAGATCAGCCAACATTTTGCCAGCTGTCATTTACATTTGATTGGCTTAATCAGCTACCTCAATGGAACCCATAAGACCCAGGTGACACAGAGGTCAACCAGAGCCAGGTGGACCAACCTTCCTTTGTGTTGATGTTTGGACAATACGTGACATTTGCCATCCCGGTATGGAGTTGACAGTCACAAGAAACCATGCAATTGTCTTGGAAAGGCTATTTTCTCTCTTTGTTTTCCCCAGCCATTGAACATTTATACGGACAGTACTTTCTGCTGGAACTTGCATGGGAGTTGGGTGTTCGGGACACTGGGCTCAATCAGAAACTGGATACATAAGGGACAACAAAAGTTTTGGCAGACCCATCGGGGTCATTGTGTCCACACATCAGGGATATTTAATCCTATCATCAGCCATCATCTCATCCGTTGTTTTGAGACCTGCCAGCCCCTCTTCAACCAATGGACATGCCAAACTCCTGCCTCTTCAAGGAGCCCCGCTGATGTCCTTTCAGCTCAGCGAATAGCAGCAATGCCAGGTCCAGCTGGGGGCAGTGAGAATTTTGAACCTGTAAAGTGCATAAAAGTTTATGGTTTCCTGTGTTAAGGATCTTAGCTATCTTTAGCAGGCTACCGCAAGCTGTCATGACTTCAGCTGACTTTAAATAAAATCTTTGGTGACTTCTCTCCAACTTGGTGGGCATTCTTTTGTCAGATTGCCAAGCACATGGATGCACAGCTGGCTGGGCATCAGGACCACTCACCATTTCATGGGCTTGACTCTTGGCCTCAGATTCTGGCTATTCGTGGCACGGATCTCACTATCTGCGGCCACTTCAAATTGCTAAATTTCAGATACACCAGTCAAAAGTTGATTCAGTGGTCTACATTAGCTGGGACAAACCTACAGAATTCAGGCCTTAATGCAACAATAGTGTACTGAAATAGTAAAAGGGGAGGGTGGTGGTGAGAGAATTACTCTGGTTTCTGAGGCTAGATGTACACTATATCCCAGAATCTGATCTCAGATTATCTGCTTTGAAGTGGATTATATGACTCTACACTGTGAGATAATCTGGGATCAGATTCTGAGATATATGACAGTGGAGAAGGGGCCTGACTCTGCTGAGAGGCAGAGAACTAAGGTGGCTTTCATTTGACTAGCTCTAGGATAGAAAATTAAGATTTCTCATTTTTTTGGCCATGCCCAATAAGGCCTCAGATCTGCCTCATGCTGAGCACTGGAGAAGGATTTCTAATGGTGGTATCACTTCTGTATGACATGCCTCCCATTTCATATTGTATATGGTGAAAATGTAACCATCGTCATCTCTGCTTCTCTCTCCCTCATATGTGAGATTGGAATGGTTCATATTTTTGTTGAATCGACCAGTCGATGTGTGAAGAAAGGAATTTTGAGATTATTTTTTTCTGATTCAAGATCATTTTGTCAAAGGCCATAATGGTTGTTGTGATCAAAGTTCTGCATATGGCATAGATATGTGATGGTTTCTACATGAGTTATGAAACACCATTAAACTAACAGGTGTACAAGTTACAACCACATGTCATCATACCTCTGCAAGCTAACTTTAAACAGTAACCTATTTTTCAGTGTGAGGATTGACATTTTAAGACGTAGGTACACTGGTCTACAGTGGCTTGAATAGTCTACATTAAATGGGGAAATATTTACAGATTCAAACCTTAACATAAAAGAAAGTTCAGACATTAGCTACATATGATATGAGAGGATAAACATATAAAGGGGATAGGGAAGGAGGGAAGATACAAGATATGTTTATTTGCAGATGATACACNAATAGTCATAGAAATGCTAGCAAATATGATACGAGAGGATAAACATATAAAGGGGATAGGGAAGGAGGGAAGTTACAAAATATGTTTATTTGCAGATGATACACTACTAACCTTCAGAAAGCCATTAGAACAGATAAAAAAAATAGAAGCACATTTAACAGAGTTTGGAGAAATTACAGGCCTTAAAGTTAATTGGGATAAATCGGAAATCTTATTATTTAACCACACTAAAGAAGAGGAAGGAAAACTAAGAGAAGGGAGATTGGGCAGATTAAAAATAAAGAACTCAATAAAGTATCTAGGAATTAATATTTCTAAAGAAATTGATAAACTAGAAGAGGAGAATCTAATCAAATTAAGGAAAAATGTGAAGGATACTCTGGCTAAATTTGCCAAGCTCAAATTGTCATGGTTTGGTAGAATAGCTCTAATAAAGATGAAAATTTTACCTAAAATAAACTTTTTGTTTAGGATGCTACCTATTAAAATCTCAGCTGGAGAAATTACAAAGTGGCAGAATATGATAAACACCTTCTGCAGCGAGAACAAAAGAGTTAGAATTAACAAAGCAAAATGGTATAAACTACAAAAGAAGGGAGGTCTGGGAATACCAAACTTAAAACTATACTATATAGCAAACCAATTAAGATATATTGTTGAAGGGATTATGGGTCAGAAGGATTTAGAATGGTTAGAAGAAGAGAGTGAAGACATAGACATGAAACTAGAATATATTTTCTTTATAGGGAAAACTAGGAATCTAGACAAGAAATGGTATAACAAAATAGAGAACCCTTTTCTAAAAAACATATTGGGAATATGGTCTAAATATGAAGAAAAATTAATACCCTCGATATCCCCATTAACACCGGTGCTGATTACAAATAATTTCCCCATAAATCTCAAAAAGGAGTTGGAAAGTGAATTCAAGGAAAAAGGAATAACGAAATTAAAAGATTGGGAATCAAAGATGAAAAATATAGATGAGATAAAGGTCCAGTTAGGAGGGAACATTGGATGGTTTAAAGTACTACAACTTGAAAGATGGTTAAGGGAAATAAGAAAGAAATATAAAGGAGAGAGAGAATTTACCAAATTTGAAGAAATGATTAGCCAAAGGGGGAGTAAGGAAGGAAAAGAAAGAACAAAAGGTATAACAAGTGATATCTACAAAATGCTGTTGGAAGGGGTCCAGGAGGAGGACCACCTTAAAAGAATGTGGGAGTTAGATTGTAATAAAGTAATACACCCACAAAACTGGAAAGGAATGTGGAATATGCGTATATTAAAAAATATGTCAATAAGAATAAAAGAGAACTATTACAAAGTGGTGTGGAGATGGTACCTCACACCAATCAGATTAAATCAAATTGACAAGAAACATTCTAAGCAGTGCTGGAGGGGCTGTCAAGAAACTGGCACATATATACACATGTGGTGGTCTTGCAAATATGTTCAAAAATTTTGGGAAAATGTATTTCAAGAAATAAGAAGAATCACCCAAATAGAGATAACAGGAACACCGGAGATAGCACTGCTGTCATTTATTGACAATGTTAAAATACCAAAAGAACTAAAAGAATTAATTGCCAATCTGGTAACAGCAGCAAGATTATTAATAGCTAAAAAATGGAAAGAAGGAGGGGAGTGCCAATTGGAAGAGTGGTATAGGGAGATTTGGGACATCGCAATAAACGATAAACTGACAGGAAACATTAAGGTTAAAAGAGGATTATCAAAAAAAGATGATTTTGGGAAGATTTGGGGAAAATTGATAGAATATGTATATATAGAAGGTAAGGGGACCAAACCTGTAATAGAAACAACTGATTTTTGGAAATAAGTATTGTAATTGGCTGGTCGGGGGTGAAGGGTTAGCACTGGGTGATTGGGTGTAATGAAGCAGGAGAATGAAATATTATAGGTATCAAGACATACATGTTCTGTACAATTGTTAATGGAAAGTGATAAGTATAAGAATGTTTAAATACCGAATATGTTAAAGCTACATAATTCATTTGTAATTTCCAAGGAACTTCTTAGACCCCGGTGGCGCAGTGTGTTAAACCATTAAGCTGCTAAACTTGCTGACCGAAAGGTCGCAGGTTCGAATCTGGGGAGAGGTGTGAGCTCCCACTGGTTAGCTACTGCTGTGAGAGGTTCAAGCTACTTCAAAATGGAGTTCTTGTGTAAATGGATTACATGTTGGTCAGCTGCTGTCCTCACCTTTTTGCCTTGTTTTTTACTCATGTTCTATTTTGAAATAGTCATATGACTGATCAAATAAATAAATATTATTATTATTATAATTCAGCAGGATTACATGTTGTTCTCTGTTGTTTCAGTCAGACTTGTCCAATCCCAGGACACCTATGAATGTGGCCTGACACAAAATTGTAAACTTACTTAAGTGTAAACATGTACACATACCAGCAAGAAAAGAAAAAAAAAACATTAGGAGGAGATAGAAGATAATGTACCAGTTTAGTGGTGGGACTAATGGATTTCCAATCCATGTTTTATCATGGAAATTATAAACTGAACTATAGAATTGAAAACAAAAACCTCACCATGCTTTATCGTATTAGATTATTTATTTGTTCATAATGTACAATAATAATAAGTTATATATACAGAATTACACAGAATTGCAACAACAGAAGTAATGCTGGCAAGAAATAAAGAACTAGTCTTGCTTTTTGCCTTTAAAAATGCTTTTGCGCTCTTGGTAACACAACAACAAGCGTATTTATAAGCTAGACAAAATAACATATAAATAGCACAGTCTTCACATTGGTACTATTCACGTCAAGGTCCTGATGCTGCCCATGAATAGAAATAGCTGCTGCATATTTTGCCTCTTAAACTGTATAGCACAAAACTTGGAAGTATGGTAGAGTCTCACTTATCCAACATAAACGGGCCGGCAGAATGTCGGATAAGCAAAAATGTTGGATATTAAGGAGGGATTAAGGAAAAGCCTATTAAACATCAAATTATATTATGATTTCACAAATTTAGCACCAAAACATTATGTTTTACAACAAATTTACAGAAAAGTGCAGTTCAATATATGGTGCCGTTCTGTAGTAAGTACTGTATTTACGAATTTAGCGCCAAAACAGACAAGGATTCTTTCTTTCTCCCACCCTGGACATTATTCCACAGATAAATATATACTCCACTTCCCTCACCTGTGGATCTGGGTGGGAGGCAGATTGCATTGGATAATATGGAACGTTGGATAAGCGAGCCTCTACTGTAATATATTTTTAAAAGGAAGACAACAAATGTTCTTCTTTGACATGAGTTAAGTTTACTCATTATTCTTGACCTACTTTATTAGAATGAATGAGAAATTTTTTTAAAATTTGAGTGTATTTTTAAAATAATAATGAAAAGTACTGTAAAGGTAATCAGCAACTTGAATCACTAAAAATGAATTTCTTTAAGAAAATTACGATCAGTGAACTAAATGACAGATAAACATTTAGTGGTAGAGAAATGTGTAAATAGGACACAGGGATGGGGATGAAAAATTACACCTACAATTGATGCAACGGTGCAAAATGGAAGGACTGAAATTACTGAACATTTTATAGTAACCCCACAGTTATGTTCTGCCAGCAGAAAGCAATCTGTGCTGGTGGATTTCCCCAACCAATAGAACAGAGCAAGAGTGAGAATCCAACCTTGATGTTCAAGACTGTGGACAGGATTAATGTGCTGTATTTCCATCACTGACTGTATTTTTCATCTAAATAATTATAAAATTAGAAGGAAGACCTCAGATCATTAGGTGGAGCATCTATGACAGTGGTCCCCAACCTTTGGGCCTCCAGGTGTTTTGGACGTCAGCTCCCACAGTTCCTAACAGTTGGTAAACTAGCTGGGATTTCTGGGAGTTGAAGTCCAAAACAACTGGAGGCCCAAAGGTTGGAAACCACTGATCTATGGCATAACCAACCACTGCATCAGACATTTCTGAATTGGGTCCTTTCTAATCCAAAACTGTCTGGTAGCTTCAGCATTGGTAGATGTTTTTCTCCACACAAGGAGGAGCTGTCGCAGCTCAACACAGTGTTCAGATTTGTTCTGCACACAAATGAATACTAAACCTGCACACAGGACCAGAGGGCATGGTTTCAGCTGTTGATCCAAAGGGTGTGTCTAGTTCTTGTATTTATTTAGGATACTGTAAATGGTACTGGAAAGAAACTGAACTGCACTCAAAGTACCTTTTTCAGATTTCAAACACAGCTATATATACTTTAAGCTTAGAATATAAGAGCTCACAGACTAACAAAGACACACTGAAGGACAATATTAAATATTTATTACATTGACCCTATTAAAGTAGTGACTTTTTAAATTCTCATTTCTTCAGGGCTGAGCAAGTAGGGGGTAGGCCTTTTTATTATCTTCAAGAATATGAGTTATCATTTGCTCAGTCATGCAACATGTAATTAAAATATTATTGCTTTTTAAGTTGTGAAGTTTCTTTTAATAATAATAATTTCTGAGAATTGTCAACCTGGCACTTTGTGACAAACCGAATAATAAATTAACCAGCTTGGTTATTAAGCTAGTCATTGGTCGATGTACTAGTAATTATGGTTTCGCAAGGGCTTTATGTTTAAAATATAGGTTGCTTATCCTTTTTCTTTTGTAATTTAAAAATCAGGAGCATAAATTATCATATCACTGGCATATGCTTTACATGGGAAGGTATTTGCATAAGGCCCAATAGATCTTCTCCTCAGTGCAGGAGTAATGATACATAGATCCACTGGTCAAACTACAAAGTATTCAAACTGAGAGAAGAGCAGACACAGTGCCTCCTGTCCTCTTTCTCAGTGTCAATACTGAGGGGCACTGTGCCAACACCAGAATGGATTATGTTCCACAAAAAAGTTCTCAATGCAAGGAAGGATAAAATACATTTGCTTTTCAACAAAGTGTAGCTTCCTGTTTTGTCTCAATTCAGGAAACTAACTTTTTAAATAGTGGATAATCAGGGCCTGAACACCCTAATGGCACCTGATCCTGTCTAATCTTGGTTAACACTTGGATGCATGGCTGCCAAAGAATACTAGATGATGTGGGCTCTATTTCCGAGGAAGAAACTGGCAAAGCTACCACTGAGTATTACTTGCCTAAGAAAATGGTACAAAATGCATGGAGTCTCCATAAATTAGTAGGTGAATTGAAAGCCCATACAATTAACAGACGTTCTCACCTTGCTTATTAATTAATTAAAGTAAAAGTAAAGTACAGTTAAGGGGTAACAGGAAAGTGTGATTCCTTCAAAAGTGGATTTGACTCTCCTTGTGCACAGGAGAGGAGGAGGAGAAAAGAGAGTTTAAAGCCTTAGACTTACACTCTTGGCTATATGGTGTACTGATTGGTACTGATGGCCCCATTAATAGTTCCTCTTAGAGTTGCCCATGGAAACTATTATTTTGGTTAAAGAAGATCATAAATGCAGTTGACATCATAACAATCCAACATAGTAGTAATATTTTTGACTATTTTCTATTAATTGAGTTTACTACATTCGAACCTGAAAACTGTGTAAACACCAGTTAGAGATGTTTTATCAACGAATCTCTATAGTTATCTATTTTGGAGAGTTAGCATAATATCCCCAGATATCTTATGATTATTGATGTATAAAATATGGCCACAAGAATATTTTCTTAAAGCATTGATCATATTAATAGATATATCCTGGTAACCTTATAATTAGTACATATTTGCATTAGTATATATGTATGTGTATAACAAATAGTTCTGAAATGTCTGTGTGGACCACACATGCCAAGAATTTTCATGTCCTGAAAACTGGAGATATAGGCTTATAGGCCAGTCCATATAAGTAAATATAGTTTCAAAGTATTTGTTGCTTTTGTTTAAAAAGTGATGAGAAGAAATTGAGATGGTGTATACAGAAACAGAAATTACATTCCTTTGTGTATCCATGTTATATCTAATAGCAGTTACTAACAGTTGCAGACTGGAAGAGAACAAGCCACAATAAGACAATAAAATTTCTTCAAAACCAGTCATGATATGGGCAGATTGATGTGTATACTTGTCAGCTGAGTAGGAAATGAACCTTAACATCTTTTCTCAGTCCACTTGTCCTAGTTGTTCTCATTCAAGAAGTCTACTGGTTGAGCTCCTTGCATTTGTCTCTAATGACAACCATGGCAAACCTTCAAGCATTTAATTCTCGGAAGTACATCAAATGCTATTGATGTTTGAAGGCCATCTTTGCTTCCAAGATTCTGCCCCATTCTGGGTCCCCTTGCTCTTGGAATCCATATAAATTCTTTGGAAATGTACATCAGAGCAATGCATGTCACGAAGCCACCACTGGTTCAGGTTTGGGCATAACTTGTGCCCACTCCAAAATATCCGCGCAGAGAGACTCCACAGCATCTAACCGCTCAATTTGCACTAGTTTTGTTAAGAGTTCTGGGATACTGTAGCCTGCTGTGCTGATGCGATCAAAGAGCTGCATGCCATCTGTCATGCCCCCAATTTCATCACGCTTCAGTCCAAAGCTTTCGGCAAGGTGACGCCAAGTCTTCACAATAGCTTTTTCAGTGTTGTATGTAGAGCTGAGCATCCTGCTGGTCTTCTCCAGACAATCAAAAGGCAGCTCTGTGGGACTGAGACCTAGAACAAAAGTTTGAAACTAGATTAACACCAAGATAAATCCACACATTTTGCTTCTAAAGGGTAATACCTTTACATTTAAATCTGGGGTAAAGATGTGAATTACACAGCAATTCAGTTGTTGGAGTGCATCTGTTTGCATTCATTGCAAGTGACTATATTGTCTGTCTGCTGGCAGTCAAAAAATGTCTGGAGGGCTCCATGATTCCCACCCTGACCTATGAAATTATCTTCATTATCATTGTGTGCAGGCAAAATCCAGTGTTTTGTCTAAGGTTGAGTAGATCTACCAAAATCAACGTGGCTCATCTAAATAGTAACTAACAAATATAATGTCTCCACTCAGTGGGACTACTATACTTGGAATGTACACTTGATTTAGCCCTATGCTGAATATTTTTTCACACACACGTACACACACATCCCCCTTCAGTTTGTTTTTGCTTCTTCTTGCAATGAAAATAACAACAAAATGTTGTTTGGTTACACAATGTTCTGCTTGGGCATCAGGTAAAGCCAAAACATTCTTTCTTTCCAAACATATTTGTTTTACCCAAAGCTGTTGATCCATTATTTCTCTCATCCTCAACTTGCTTCCTTCTTTACTCATCTTCATGTCATTTTTACTACTGGTGTAAGTTTACAGCAAGCCATCATATAAGGCAAGAAAATTTAATTGGAGGCTTTTGCCCAGGGGGAGAGATACAAGTTCCCTCTCCAGTCAAGGCTTGGAGTATCCATTCACAAGCATCAAAAAAGAATCTTTCTTTTAAAATGAATCATTATTTTCTCCTCAGGGGCAACACATATCTCAGGTAAAGGGTGACATTCCTAGTGAGGCCTACTAGCTTTCCCCATCTTATTTGAGGCTAACAACAAATCACACCCTGAGAGACAGCATTTCTCAAATGCGTCAAAAGGTTATTAAGACAGTATAGCACTTTTGACAGGTGAAAATATATAGTCAAGGTATTCCATCAGGAAATGAGGCATAAAAATTCCGTGGTGCTGAACAACGCCCTGTCTCCTATTTAACCCCTTCCAAAAGAAACCCTAACTATTACATGCTAAATGCGCCAACATGACCATTTATTACCCATGGAGAGAGTTGGGGCTGAAGCAGAGAATAGCCAGGCTATGTGCCTGTAGCTTGATGCTCAGCACAGAGATCCTGGCGAATCCCATTGTCATTCTGCATCTTGCTGCAGGCCCATAGTTGGATGCTTCTCTGTTGCCCATTCCTCCAAACTATACAGAAACAAACTGATAAATGAACATCTTGAGAAATGCAGTATGGAAAGGATAGGTTACTGGAGGGGTTTTGTTGGTTACATGAGGGAAAAAGAGAATTCGAGCTTCAACAATAATAAAAAAAAATGGGCCATGCAGATGTCACTAACAATGTCAGATCTATATAACCAAAGTGCCTTTCTAGCTACATTCCCAAAATATGTAAATTATTCCAAAACATTTTTTTAAAAAACTTCCCCTTTGAACTGGCTTTATCAATAATCGATTGATTGAGTCGTATCAGCAGTTTATTATTTCAGAAAGCAGGTGATGAGATGAATAGGGTAATATTTTCAGTTGATACATATTTTCACCTACCTTCTGCAACACTGCATACATTAGCATACAGATCAAGAATCTTTTTCCTCCGGCTTTGTATCTGAAGAAAATAAAAGATAAAAAACATTTATTATTAAAGCGTGGACTTTCAGAACTTCTTTGGAAGTGTGTGAAGAGAAAAATAGAGACAGTGTGTTTTGTGTATTCTTCAACTAGGATGGAAGAAAGAAATTAATTTAGTATGAAATGCAAAATGTAGTATGCTGTGAATCTTTGATGTGGAGGTTCTTTAAAAGCAGTGTTTAGCTTTTGTAGTTGTGGAGACAGGTTTGTTGTCATTGAAGTGCAAGCAATGCCTATTGAAATATGAAAAAGTAGCTGAATATAATTATTCAGAGAGCTCAAGGCAAGACTTGAAGGTCCTACTTCATTTTTTTCCTTTCCATTGCAAGCAGAAGGAGAATAGATTATGAAGAAGAAGCTAATGTAAAAGTAACTGTGTATTGCAGCATACCATTTTGTAGAGCAGAATATTTATTATGAGTGGATCAAACTTGTAAGCACACAAGGTGCTCCACCTAGAAATCTACTAAGGTCATCCCATGCCATTCCTTCTATGGCCCACCTCGAAGGTTAAAATCATGGGGGGAGGCCCTGCTCTCGGTCCCACCCCCCTCACAAACGTGGGGACGAGAGACAGTAGTGGCCCCTCGTCTATGAAACTCCCTCCCCATTGAAATTAGATTTGCCCCATCCCTCCTGACCTTCAGGAAAAAACTGAAATCATGGCCCTGGGATCAGTAAAGGAAGTAGTGCAATACGACACTACAAATCAACTTAATGACAACTCAGACCAGCCCTGGAATATGATTTGGATCATGCAATTTTAATCAATGTTTTAATTTTGTTTATTTACCAATGTTTAAATATGTGGCATTGAATTGTTGGTTTTGTAAGGCAGCCCTGAGTCTCCTTCGGGGTTGAGAAGGACAGAATATAAATGGGGTAATTAATTAATTAATTAATTAACAAACAATAATTCCTTGCTGCAAAATAGTGCTACATCCTGTCAAGGTGATGTGTAAGATTGCATAACCACTGGTGTCACACAATTGCAATACCTTGGCTATACGAAGATACACTTTTGGGTGAGTGATATAACTTTGCCCTCTCACTGTGCTACTTCCCCCTTGCGTTTTTTTTCTTTTCCTTTTATTTATTTATTTATTTACATTTATAAAAAAACATTTTTAGGCGAGATGAGTGAATGCTGCCATAGAAGCTGGGAACCTCATTGCATGAAATATGCCCTGGCCCTGTGGCACAATCAAGAGTTATTGAGGGGCTCTGCCCCTTCATCAAAAATTGGTTTTTACTGGCCTGTAAATGGCGATAGGGCAAGAAAATCCTGTTTTTAAAAGCAGAGTTCCCAATGTGTCTTTAGATCCATCAACCCCTATGTACATATATAGCTATGCATTTTAGTTCAGATGCATTTTGTTTTGTTCTTATTCTGAGCATATATGCAGGAGATTTACGGCAAAGAACAATCACAACATTTCTATGAAGATTTATTTTTCTCAGTCAACATGATGGATATAAGTAAAACTAATTGTGCTCATTTTGTTGTTATTTTTCCCTGGTTCAGAATTCTTTCATATCTGTATCCAATTGTGTTAGTATGTGCTTTTGTTATTTTGGCTCTGCTTTAAGCTTCATCTAATCAGCTCATACAAATTCTGGAATAAGGCAGGTTTTCTCAGCCTTGCCTAATTTCATTTTCAATCTACTGTTCAACTCATTATGTTTTAATTTTCCTTCATTGTCTCCAATATATTTTTTACTGTGGTTCTTTACCAACAAGGGTACAGCAGACACATATCTTAAAGGGAGTTTGCATGTCATAGGAATTGTAGTTTTACAAGATCTTTAACTTCTCTACCAAGGAGTGCTGGTGCCTCACCTAGAAGTTCCATAGCATTGGGCCACAGCAGATAAAGTGGAGTCAAATTGCATTAATTCTAGTGTAGATGCATGCTCAGACACCAGTGATTATTTTATGTACTGTATTCTTTCCTCCAATATCCTTCAAAAGAGCAGTTCATCACTCTATCTGGCACCATTTTAAAGAATATATCCAAAGACTTACGCCAGTAGATTTGTTGTTTGTAGAAGATTTATCTCGAGCCAGATGGACTAGAGACAACAAGCACAGATCTGGCGTTCCTTGTTTGTCAATTGCAGCTTCTTCATCACTGTCCATGCTTCGACTTAAAAGTCTCTCATTCTCTGAGGAAGCGTCATTTTCACTGGAAAGAAAATATAAAGATAAGGTTATGTAAATATGACATGAATGACCACCAGTAGTGGCTTTGGCTTGGTTATTGATTTAAGTAAATATTTCAACAGTATTCCTTGTCTTAAACTAAATCATATGGACGTGTCCCCCCAGCTATATCCTAATTTTGAGTGAATAACATTTTCTGGTCACACCATGAGGAGACAGGAAAGCCTAGAGAAGACAATTATGCTGGGGAAAGTGGAAGGCAAAAGGAAGAGGGGCCAACCAAGGGCAAGATGGATGGATGGCATCCTTGAAGTGACTGGACTGACCTTGAGGGAGCTGGGGGTGGTAACGGCCGACAGGGAGCTCTGGCGTGGGCTGGTCCATGAGGTCACGAAGAGTCGGAGACGACTGAACGAATGAACAACAACAACAAACATTTTCTGGCACAATTCCATAAATTTCTATTGAGAACAAAGTTTTGTTGAGATTATTAGGGGTTTACTCCCAGTTAAATAGGTCCTAGCAAATCCACATTTCAGTTCCCAGGGATTTAATAAATATGATCAAATATACTCTTTGAATGATGCATTTATTTGAACAGAATTTCTATTCCTTTGCACATATGGTTTGGCATCTTCAGTTGAAATTAATTTTCGAGCACCTTATATGCAGCATATTGCTGCTTGCATGTGAGAATGAGTAGGTTGCAATTTTAATTTTAAAGCATTCAAGAATAGAAGTTTAAGTCCTTCCCTTTCTAAGAAAGCTTTGCTAACTCTAAGGACTTTATTGCATGAGGCAGGCAAACAAGCAAACAGCTGGACCATTGGGGATAAGAGGGTGTGTGGAAGTATGATAGGAAGTCCACAAAATGGCAAAGTGACACAATTGCACTCCTGAAGACAGGTGTGATATTGAATGTTCAACCTAGTATTTATCCCTAACCCTACACTAATACGGCTGTAACAGAATGGCAAGTTGTTGTGATAAAGTCCTCAGTTGTTTTGGGAGTAATTACATTTATCCCTTGGCCCCTTGTGGCGCAGCAGGTTAAACCCCTGAGCTGATGAACTGGTTGACTGAAAGGTTGGCAGTTCGAATCTGGGGAGCGGGGTGAGCTCCCCTTGTTAGGCCCCAGTTTCTGCCAACCTAGCAGTTTGAAAACATGCAAATGTGAGTAGATCAATAGGTATACTTCTGTGGGAAGGTAATAGCACTCCATGCAGTCCTGCTGGCCACATGACCTTGGAGGTGCCTATGGAGAATGCTGGCTTCTCAGCTTAGAAATGGAGATGAGCACCATCCCCAAAGTTGGACATGACTAGACTTAATATCAGGAGAAACTTTTACCTTTACCTTAAGTTCGCAATAGCACACCTATTTCAGAGACTCTGAAGTAAATGGGACTGAACTAAATGAGACCTAATTCAGAGTTCAGGATTGGGCTACACAAATTTCTTCACAATTTCTGTAGACAAATTACAGCTAGCATGTTTTTATATTACCTACCTCTTGACCACTTTTGCAGGAGTTGCTGTTAGTTTTCCAAATTCATCTTTCTCTGAGAAAATAACTACATTTTCTGCAAAAACAAACAAACAAATACATTACAAAGATAAAAATCACAAGCCCCTCCAAAACATCATAACATTGTAGACACAATTGTGGAGGGTTCCCCCCCCCCCCAAAGGTACCAAAAATTGAAAAATGAGTTACAGGTGGCAGCACATTGTTGGCTAGGAGTAGAATACTATGTACAGATCAACACTATTAAAATATTACAGATCACTTTTGTACAAGGCTTAGAAATGGCATCTTATAGCAAAACAATCCATATCCTCAGCAGGTTGTTTTTGATTCCTCTAAAATTTGTTCAGATGGATTTGGTACCTTTTGGAAACAAACTCCACAGTTGGTTTGTTAGATTTTCTGGGTGACTGTTTCAACAAAACATGATTTTAAGTGTTATTGCGGGAAGTGGGGGCTCTGTTCAATTAGATTCTTGATTGCCTTGATGCCTTTCCAATTATTCTTCTACTAAATGGAATTTGAAACCAGGCAGTTAAAAGAATGACTTTGCATGGGACATTGCACCAGGGCAACATAATCCCTGTGAGATTCAGTGTGTAAAACCCCGAAATGATAGAACATTTCCAACCTTGTACTTCTTTCTTTTCTTCCTGCATAATGGCTGGAGCTTCCACAGTCTTCACAGGATGGCTGGTGCAGCATGCTGGAAGAGGAAAACATGCCTCTTGTTAATACCCTCTCTCAGCAGCAATTGAAGCCTAGCGCCTCAGGGCTGGAATCCTCTTTCCTAACTCCAAGTTACCTTGTGCTGATGTTTTCGTTTTGACAATGTAGAACATGATGATCAGGACAATAGCAATGGCCATGATGAATATAGTTGACATCGCAATGATGAGAGCTGTAGCAAGATGGCCTTGTCCAGTCAGATCTGCAAGGACAATGATAAATCGTTAGGAGCAAGGAAGCAATTCAATTTTAATTTTAAATTATTTGCCATATGGGTTTTTGCCTATTGAATTAGATTAGGGACTCTTGGGGCACTTTTATAGTTTTTTTTTTGTGGCACCTTGATTTATTTGGAAAGGAGTATTAGTGACTCACATATTTTGCTTGGTGCACAATTATATAGGCCATGGGCAGGGTTGTCTGATGAAATAAACTTGCCTGTGAAAGATTCCATCCCAAATGCATGAAAATTAGGCTGCAAAATCATATGCATGTATCAGCTACTGCTCCTGATATAGACCTCAGAAATCATTACAATATGCATACATGAAGAATTTCTAGTGACCATGTCTTCATGTGCAAAATTAGAGGCAGTTATCACTTTTCATTGAGATAGTTCTGGTTAATCAGGGCAGAATCCGGGGGGGGGGGGGATTATCCCCTCCCCTGGGTTTCAACCACACACACACCCCTGGAAAATTTCAGGTAAAGAAAACCTGGTTTATTTATGAATTTTAACTGGTTAACCAAATCCCCATGCTAAATTTATGAGAAGCAAAAATTAAATGAGTCCCTCCAGAACTGCAAGTACTATCTCAAGCAAATTTTGACAATTTATTCATAGTCATTACTTGCAGCAATAGCTTATATAGTAAAAGCAACCAAGTTGGCCCAACCATGACTGGGAGGCAAAACCCATTTGAAGCCCCCCCCCCCCCATGAAAGAGATGAGAAAATTGATTGAATTAAGTCTATATAAAATATGGAATGAATCATACTATTTAAATTATTTTCCGTTACGGAACTACTTTTCATGATTCTCTTAAACAATTTCAACACCCCTCCCCACCCCATTTTTTTCTGGCTACGGTTCTGCGGTTTATCCTTTGTCATCCAGTTTACAAAAAAAATGCAGTTTCTCTCTCCTCCTCCTTCTCTCTCTCTCCTCCTCTTCCTCCCAATTCCCCCTTTGTTCTTCTGTTTCTGCAAACTGAATTCTCAATGCAATAGTAGTTTACATTCTATGAATTTAGTAATAGGGTCGGAATCTTGCACTTCCCTATAGAACCAGGAAAGAGTAAACCGCTGCAGCATCTCTGAGCTTGTATGCTATTCCTCATGCCTAATTTGTGTCATCTTGACCACTATTTAATGTTGCTTAGCTGCATGTGCCCAATTTTAACTATGAAATTGCATAGGTACCCAATATATACCAATGGCTCATTAAAAACAATAGCTACACAGGGCTTCATTTGGGAACATAAAGTCAATAAATCCTGCTTTGCATACGTAAAGGTTTGGGGCCTTAATGAGCACCAGCAATTAAAAAAACTTTTGCCAATTTGTGCTGTAAAATTGCAACCTATTTTAGCACACACATATATATACACCAGTATTTGCTCCAATAGTTGTGATGTACTAAATTCCTGTACTCCAAATAATCCACACTGATGATCAAAGAGTCAAATTAACTTCTAATCTAATTTAATATATTTCAGTTTTGCAAAATTAATCACAGAGCCAAAATACCCTGTCTGCTGAGGAACTGTTTTTGAAGATTCCTCATATATGAGAAAATAGAAAAATGAATTCTAAATAGAAAAATATATCCTTTTAAACTCTTAAAAGAACAACTTTTACACTGTTTAAAAATGACTCATACGTAAGACTCAATTTTCACTGTCATGACAGAGAACAAGCGAACTTTGGTTCCCTGATTCAGATTAGCCAGTTTTTCATTGGGGCTCCATTCTGTCTCTCCTCTTGACCCACATGCCAAAGGCCAAATGTTAATTTAGCTACTATGGTTTTCTAAACAGAAAAATGAAATCTGAAATTACTTGTCTTACCTTTGTGCACAGGCCGGAAAGGAGATTGAGTACTTGTTCCAGAAGTACTTGAGAAACTGACTGATGCACCCGAAGTAATACCTATACCTGTAATCGTAAAAATAAAATTTGTCATACATTTTCCTGTTTTCTTTATAAAATTTCAGCTATGAGTTGACACATTTTGTGCACTGGCTAGAGCTGTTACTTAGCTGCTGTTTAAAAGCTAACTTTACAATTGAAATGTCACCTCAGCTAGTGGTTTGTAAGTTTATGATACCAAGCTATGAAATATGCATTTTGGCACATGGTTATTACCCAACTAGATATTTGCCAGATTTGATTCCATCAGAGTGGAAGAATTAATATTGAAATCCATTGCAGTTTTGTCAGAAAGGAAATCATTAGTTGCAGGGACATGCCAATGGGACTCTTAGGAATGCCACCACAGATTTTTTTTTGCCTTCTTATAAAAAGCTCAGCTACACCTTTCTCCTCCTATTTTGTTTTCCCAGGAGCCTATCCAGTAAGTTAGAATTATTCTGTAACAACTTTTATTTAACATGGTAACTTTATGTGGACTTAGCTAAGTAGTTGAGATACTAAGAAATTCTGCTAGTGAAGATGCATATCAGAACACCAGTGAATATGAGCCCAATGCACATTTTACATTAGTGCAGATTGTTGATTTTGTTGGCTCTGCTTTGTACTAATTCAGCTGCAGCCCTTTATTGGGTACAAACTGACCATGTCTACTTCCCACATAGTCCAAAAAAACACATAACTCCCATTCAGGATTTTGACCAGAGCTTTTAAGAGTTACGTATGGGGTCAATAAGTCCCAGAATCCCCAAGCCAGTATGGTTATATGGTGATTTACAATAAAAGAAAACAACTTTTTCAAGATCTGGTTGCACATGAGAAATCTAGATACCCAATATATACACAAGGGCCCTTCCACACAGTGATGCAACCCGGATTATCAAGGCAAAAAAATCCCACAATATCTATTTTGAACTGGGATATCTGAGTCCACACTGCCATATATTCCAGTTCCTAGCAGAAAATGTGGGGGGATTTTTTTCAGCTGAGTGGAAGGAGCCTAAGACGCAATTAAGACTGATGCCTTCTTAGCATTTATGCCTTCTTGGTGTACCAGTAGATCTAGAGGGATCCTTGGAATGAAGTTATCTATTTGTCTAGCTTTTTTTGCTTTGTTTTTTTGTTGTTATAAAGTTTTAAACATAACAAATGTCATTAGGTTGTTCACTGAGTTTAAAACATCTCTTTTGGTGTTTAAACCCAAGCACTGAATTCCTCAAGGGAACCGCAAAACCATGCCTGCTGTTTCATGTGGCCAGGTATTTTGAACTGTGACCTTAAAGACAGATTAGTATGTTTGGATTCAATTATCTTGAATACGGAGTTCAAAAAGTGAGAAGGCACGTTGGTTGGCATCAAAGCTAAGCAAAAAAAGTAAGTTTTAAATTGCACATATGAAAGGAATTATTGATTATTATTATCAGTGTTTAAAACCTTGAATCTCTAGCAAAATAATATTGTGTTGGGGAATGTGGGACTGGAACATTTGTGTGGATAACATTATGCTACAATGAAAAAAAAAAACCCCTGCTGTTCGTCAGTTCCAGTAAATATAAACCTTTCTTGGCCAAGCTCCGTCAGACAAATTTGACAGGAAATTAAGTTCTCTAGTAGTGCATGAAAAATGCCTCACAGCTTATGAGGTAAAGACATGTGCATGGCCTAAATAAAATGTATTTTAATGAAATAAAACTATTATAAAACATAAAATATTTTAGTCAAAGACAAAGACAAATTTTAAACTTGGCCAGCAAAGTATGCAGTTCAGTGACTTTTCCCCATAAAAACCTAATGGACTTTCCAAGCATTGCTAGCTATTAAGCAAAGTATATATCCTTTAATATATGTCCTTTTAGGCAAAAGCCAAATAGTTATTATTCTTATTATGATTTTTTTAATATGTTGGTTTATTTTACTTGTTCTTTTGAATAAATCCTGCATACATTATGCATAACCTGGCTTTGTCCTCTAAGACCCCTTCTACACTGCCATATAAAATCCAGATTATCCACTTTGAATTGGATTATATGGCTGTGTAGATTCATATAATCCAGTTCAAAGCAGATAATGTGAATTATATGGCAGTGCAGAAGGGGCCTAACCAATGTTATTGGGGGGAAAAAGCAATATAGGTATTAGCCCAAAAGATTTAAACATTTAATCCTGGTGTACGTGGATGAATCACATGTCTAATTTCAGCAACAAGAATTCATGCATAAAGACACGATCATCATTATTTTCATCATCAGTTAAAGGCTATTTTCAGTTTTTGGGATGTTATGATGTCCAGATTTCCACTCCATTAAGAAGTTCTCGGGTTAAATTAATTATAATCCTAAAATCATAAACCCAAGTCAAATACCTGGTCTTGTGTTTAAACAAAATAATTAAATTGTTAGACAAAGTATATATAGTTGAATTATATATATAAAAAAATACTTCTACATTATAACTGATGAGAATCTGAAGGTCCTTCCACACAGCCATATAACCCAGAATATCAAGGCAGATCATCCACAATATTTGCTTTGAACAGGGTTATCTTGAGTCCACACTGCCATATAATCCAGTTCAATGTGGGTTCCTACAGCTGTGTGGAAGAGGCCTCGGAGCAAACTGGAGCACCAAAAGGGATGGCATCATTTCTCCAACCCACTTGAGTTTCTCAGTTTGCTCTGGGTCTAAATAACAGTCCCCAGATGCTCTGGGTTTTTGTCTCTACCCTTTATCCCTACCACTATGGGCCTTTCCACACAGCCATATAACCCAGAATATCAAGGCAGGTAATCTACAATATCTGTGTACACATCTGTGACGATGTGTAAATTTTATTCCTTTGGTCATGTGTAGTTTGGACAATGGTTTAGGGATGGTAAGTATGGGATGTTATGTTTTGTGGGAGTGGCTTGATGTTAGCTAAGTTGCCATAGCAACAGGGGCGGAGCCAACCGCCTCTTCAGAGGCAGCTGTGTTTTAAAAATCCAGTCAGTGGCCGGAGAGCTACTGAGAAAACACTGAATCTTTTGGTGGAGATTCAGGGAATGTGTCTGTAGCCAGTGTGCTATAGGGAAAAACTGAATCTCTTAGAGATTCAGGGAATCAATTGGTGACCAAAGTGGTTGCAGAGAAGGACCCGGTACTGGGGGTTGTTGATTCTAAATTAAGAATCAAGGTTTGGCTGGGTTTAAGCCTGTTGTGCCAGCTGTGAAACCTTATGAAGTGTTTGCCTGAGTTTACTCATGAAACCTTTCCAATGTAACCATCAAGATTTGTATGCCTCTTTTGAAGAACAGTTATACATTGTTATACTCCTGTTAAAATAAACTTGTTACTTTTTCCTCAAGCCTTGCCTGATACAGTTTCTTCTAAGTTGAACAGCCTGCAATAATAAAGTCAGCCAGAAACAGTCCCTTTATAAAATAGTTCCTAGGCTGATATTGATCGTTGCCCGGCTTCCCTCATAGATAAGGTGGCAGTGGGTGCTTTACCACGTGCACCTTCACAATTGGTGGTATTCGGTGGCATTAAAACGGTCATCGTCACAGTTGGTGGCAGCAGTTTAATAACGGACCTCCTTCACAGATGGCATCATTTCTCCAACCCACTTGAGTTTCTCAGTTTGCTCTGGGTCTAAATAACAGTCCCCAGATGCTCTGGGTTTTTGTCTCTACCCTTTATCCCTACCACTATGGGCCTTTCCACACAGCCATATAACCCAGAATATCAAGGCAGGTAATCTACAATATCTGCTTCAAACTGGATTATCTAATCCCTCATTGTTATATAATCCAATTCAATATGGATTTCATACAGCTTTGTGGAAGGGGCCTATGAAACCAATCAAACACTAGCAGAGGTTGGTGCCATCCATTTTGACAGCAATGAATGCCTGTTGACAAAGTGACAGCATCAAGTCCAGATTGATCTGTGCAACCCTGCCCAAAAGATACATGGAATGCTTAAAAAAATATCTTTGGGGAATGTACGTCATGTGCAATTCTAGAAGGCTTAACAGATCTTCTACGTTGGATAGTACCATTTTTAGATATAACTTTGAAATTCCTGCCATAATATGCGTTTGTGTCCTCTGCCCCATTGTTATCCCTTTCCCACCACTTTTCAACATGAGCTTGGTGTTTTACAGTGTTTATTGGTCAATGATTTCCATTATTCAGTGGTTTAAACTTTTCAGTTTGGGCTTTGGCTCATCTGTTTGACAACCCATCAACCTTGTGTGGTTTCTCACACTCCAATGGAAGATATGACTTAAGAGATCTGGGATCTCACACCATCGTTACAAGTTGCAACAGGTCAATAGCAGTCTGTTCCTTCTCCCTCGTGCTCCCCTCCTCCCTATCCCATTACACTGCATTTCAGTTAATCCAGGCAAACAATGTGGCATATCATTTGCCTACTGATAATCTAACAGGTTGTATCTTGTTTATTTCAAGCAAGCTACTACACTTGTCTTGTTCCATCCATCGTAATTCAAGATATTAAGCAAATCAGCTTTGTTTTGCTACTACTGGTGATGCATTTATATGACACACAATAGCTGAGATCCTAGACTGGGAGATACATCCCTCTAACTGCCCAAGTTTGGCAGGGACAGTGCTGTTGTCCCATTTTAAGCTGTTTTGAAAATGTCCCAATTTCTTTAGCTTTCCCCCCACTTTCTTCCTTTGTGCTCAACTTACTTCAGTTGCTGCAAACTAAACTACAACTGTGAAAAAAGGTTTTCATAAGTAGTTTGAACTTCATTAACTCAGGCTGTATCTACATTGCCATATAATCCAGATGACCAAAACAGATAATTATTTGCTATGAACTGGACTAAATGGTAGTGTAGACTCATATAATCCAGTTCAAAGGAGATAATTTGGATTGTATGGCAGTGTAAAAGGGGCCTCAGTGAGGGCAGAAGAAATAGTGAAACTCAATTTCCACAAATAATGGAATATTGCTCTTTGCAGTAGGTTGAGGCTAAACCTGAAACAGTTTTTCGTTGATCTATTCTTCTTATTCCATCTCTAAGGCACCATCTACAATGCCATAATGCAATTCAATTGCACTGAATTTCAATATATGAGTCCACACTGAGCATATAATGCAGTTTCAAACTGCATTCTAGGGCAGTGTGGATGGGGGCTATGATTCTATTATCAAATTTTGACCATAGTGAGATGTCACTTAGCCACAGATATCCTAGTTTTCATCTGTGAAAGGCTGGAAGGTACAGAGATGTGTCACATATCTGTCACAGCTGGAACTATGACACATCTCACCACACAACCCACCTTTTCAGCTACTACAGGTTTCCAATATGGACCTTTATTTGTTGGTGGAGAGTAAGGGATAGAGGAGCAGTGTGCATTTATGTCAGTCAAAAGCCCAACTTTCTTCCTAGTTGAGTCACATGTAGATCCCAGTTCCAACAACATTTTTCTAATTTGACAGCCATTCCTGAATTACTTTTATCTTATTTTCCTATACATATCTGTGCAGAGGAGCTTAAAGATATGTTGCTACATATGGAAATACCTGCATATTAGCCTTTGAAAGCTGATGACTAAAATATAATGATTACCAATAGAAGTTTTTGATTTTGACCATCTGTATAATACGAAAAGAACTCTGAAAAAAACTACATTATTGCTATACTCAATGTGTCTTTTTACAATATGATGTACACTGCTTGGGATGATCTTTTTGGAAGAAGTAGAGTAAAAAACCATTGTAACATTGTCAATGTTACACACAAAAATATATGAACACAAGGATGCATTTAGTATACAGACTGACCATGAGAAGCTTAAGCACACCTGGTACGTGAGGAAGAAAAGGAAAGAAGCAGATGGAACAGTTTTAGAAACAGAATTCAAACTAAATGGTACACTTACATTCTTTGGTGTTTGGAGGTGCCAGGGAGCATGAGTAGCAAACCATCCCATAGATATTCCGGGGCCGGTTTTCTAACATGTAGTAACTGTAACAAAAACACAAAACAATATAACTCACTCTGTTGCCATTCAATAAGGTTGAGAAGTAATTGATTATCATGGGAGATAAAAAATTGCTGTTTTTAAAACCACATTTATGCCTTTATCTACTCTTTTTCTGGCTAGAAGTGGTTTCTCTTTCACTGCCTTATACAACTAGTTAAATCAAGCATTAAAGAGGATTTCATTTATTTATTTATTTATTTGGGGGTATTTATACGTTGCAGCCACTCTTTGCTGCAAAGGCTTTCTGAGTAGCTTGAAAATTGTTAATTTCAAATCCCCTGTCCTCAGGCTCACAATCTAAATAAAACATGACACAAAGGGAAAAGAAAATGGCAGTGGAGGAGGAAGTCCAAGGCAGTAGCAGCTGGGATGGAAGCCTAGGCATGGTGTAGTTGTGCCTACCTCTATTTCAACCTCATTTTCATAATTCACGCTATTTTGTACTTAGGATAAGCATGACACATATTGAAAACTAAACACTGGTGCACAGGCACCTGTCTGCTGCTAGAATCAACAGTTTTTCAACAGGTTGTTCTTTGAAACTTTCTGTTGCTCTTAGATTGTTCAGTCATGCTCTGTCATGAGTAGGAAAACAAACCTGGTACCAACACTATGGTTGATCCAAAGAGCCATTCTATTTTTCTGCAAATTAAACTCTAAATTGCTGTTCCTTTTACAGAATGCACATGGCTTTGGGAGAATTAAGACTATTGAGTATTTGATATGTGCAAATGTTATAAAGATTGGCTTGAATCCAGACTAAAAATGCAATCCTAACTTGCTCTGACAGGTAGGGAGTAGGCTTTGGTTTGGTCAATTCCCCTTAGACAATCCGGCTTGCTCGGCTTATTAGGCTGTTTGTAACGGTAAGGGCTCAACTGTCTTGCTTTTTTGGCCGAAACAGCCCACATGACTGCTGGGTGCACTTTCTTCCCTTCTATTCGGGAATATGTGGTGCATGCTTCCTTAACTCTGTTGCTCAAACCAAGGCTCCCTTGAAGGAAAGAAAGGAAAGGGTCCCAGGAAGGGTGCTTCCTTAACCCCGTTGCTCAAACCCAGACTCCCTTGAAAGGAAGAAAGGAAAGGATCCCAGGAACAGAATGAGGGAACCTTGTAAGTTCCCCATTGCTGCCAATTGGCCAGATCTTCCCAGAACATTCAAATGACTAGCTGAAAACAGAATTTTCGATTAGCCGATTTCTGGGAGGTTCCCAATAAAATTCCGATACCAAAAACGGATTGCCCTCCAGTCGAATTGCACATTGGGTAGTATATGATGGTGTAGAAAACAGTGCCCCCCCCCCCCAGTGGTGGAGCACTGCTGTACCAGATGTGGAGAACATATATGTAGAGTAATACTGTGTTAATGTAAAAGTATTACTGGCAGCATGCTAAGTTACCACTGAAATCAATGGGACTTAATTTAAGGCATAATTAACTTTTCATATTGATTTCTGTGGGCCTGAAGTGCAACTGACTTTATCTGGATGCAGGCAGTTTTCTTTTTTAAAAGATGCTTTACCTTTATTGTGGAAACAATAGTAAATTTTACTGATCTCATGCCTCGTGATTTATTTAATGTCACCTTAGATAAAAATCTAGTAATGCAATCAAGTTTTTCACCAGAAATGTTTTAAGATTATATTCTGTCCCTGTTGATAAGTCCAGTTAATCAGGATGTTAACTCCCCTTTATTTCAGAGGAACCAATGATAACATTGATTTCCTGTTTTGCTTATTTTTATTTTTTAAAAATGTCTTGTATCACAAACTTGGGATTGAGTTTGTACTGGCATTCCCATTTTGAACACATTCTTTTTCTTTTACCCCCTCCATCTGCCATCCAAAACGTTCCTTCAAATTCTGACACTTGTTTCACATTTAATTTGCTTTAATAAGCATCTGCTACTTTCTTTGATTTCAAACATGTTTCTTAAAGCATGCCTATTACTTATTTAGAGCTAATTATCATTCTCTTAATCGCATGCTGAAACAAGTGTGGCCAGCAGCACAAAAGTGACAAATGTGTGTACATCTTCTAGCCTAAGTGATTTTTTGCAGATACCAAAGTCTCCTAATTAAAATCTTACCCGGGGAGACAAGGCCCACATTCTGCATCATTCTCTTGATCTCCAGGTGTCATAACAGTTGCCCGGAAGAAGCCCTCACAGTCCTTGTGCCGCCTGCAGATCTGATAGCCACCTTTAGAAAACTTTTCAGATGGACAAGGGACACAGCCGTAGTCTTCATCTTTAGTCCCATATCCACATGTCTGTGGGAGGAAACAAGTCTCTCATGTCAAAGAGTCACATTTTAAAACAATGCTTTAAAGAAGCTTAACATGAGCAGCTCATTCCCTGCAGTTTTTAAGGCAAAGCTTGAAAAATAAATAAAGGCCTTTCTGGATTCTTGCCTCTAGAAACCTCCCACCAACCAACATGGCTGCGTTGAGGGATAATTTGATTATCCTTTCTTGTAGGATTCCCAGATCTCACGGCCTGACTCCCTCTTTAAAACAGTAAATTGGGGAGATTTGAGTTGCCATGAAAAGTATACATATACCATATGTTCCCCATTACTTAGACTTATTGGTCATAATCTTATATCAGCTTGTACTTTTATAAGTAACTTCTCCTGGCCTGATCCACAAAACCCAAAAACCTGATGGAAACATATTTCAACTATGTTCCAATTGTTGGCAGAATGGACCTCCTTCTCACCATGCAGCTGATGCTTCATAAAGTAAGCTGGGAGGGTGATATGATCGTGGCAACAGTGTCCAAATCATAACTATGTAGCAATTATGAACATGAAACAGTTACACAGTTAAGTAATTGTTCCATATTCATCATCACTATTCACTTACAAAATTAGCATTATTGCCCTGATTGTAATCCAACTCCCAGCATACTGGGCATCAGCTGCATGGGAAGAGGGAGGTCCATTCTGCCAATAATATCTCTGTCAGCTTTGGGGGCCTTGGGCTGGGAGAAGATACTTGGTATAAACTGATACAACATCCCATCCAATATTTTATTTGAATTCTTTGTGTAACTTTGGTTGACATTTAATTTATCCTAGGGTAACATGTATTGTATTTTCATTGAAATCAGAGTATTTGTTCTAAATGTACAGCTACACACGCAAATGTCACTCCTCTTTTTAAGTGGTGTGTCTCCTCTTTTTTTTCACCCTCTCCCCATTTTTGGCAGGCCATAAACTGCTAAATAACAACTGAGACTGTCCACAACTCCATACACTGAGAACAGAAAAGAAGATGCACTCTTTTGAAGCCTGTCCATTAGGCCCCTCTGCCATTTGTTGTGATTCAAGGGCAATGCTAAGCTTCAATTAGCACAAATAGATGTGTAGAGAGAAGACTAGTCGACCCTCAAAGTCCCTTCTACACTGCAATATAAAATCCAGATTATCTTATTTGAACTGGATTATATGGTAGTGTAGAAGGGGCCTGAGCAGCAGGGCTGAATGGGGCTATTGCTTCCATCTTGGCTCAAATGGAAGAGCGCAGAGCTAACCTTGTTGGACTTTCAACTCTGTTCAATTTGAAATATGGTACCCATTAAACAGTAAATGCTGAACAGAACAGCAAGAGTATGGGCTAAATAAAAGTGGTTGTAATTTTTGGAAATGCCTGTGGAGGAGGGAAACTATTTTGACCTGGCTCTTGTCTATGCCAACCTGCTTTGAAATTCCATTTGGAACATAAAGGCTGTTTTCTTGCCTCATAACAATCATGTGGTGGCCATTTTCTTGAGAGTGGGGGAATTCAGAGTAATGATAGCCTGTATCTCATGAGCAATCACTTTGTCCAGCAGTATTTTAGAAGACCGTGCTTTAAAAGAATGTGTATGTTTGAGTCCCAGGCACATGATTCAGTACAGATGCTCTGAGACTTGCATGAGAGCAGAGGAAATGTCTCATTCAAGGTCTTATGTAGTTCTCTTTCATTTATTACTCTTCTGCTAATAAATTCCCATCTCATGGATGGAGGCACTGAAAAATATTGCTCTCCTTTTGACTGCCAGACCAGAAATTTTGTGTGTATTGAACGTCTTCATATTATCCGGTAAAGAAGTCTTCTCACAAGTAAAGATGAGGCATCCCAAAGATGGCTTTTGACAAAAAGCACATCTTAAATTTTTTTTGAAGGACAACTACTAGAATCCCCCAGCAAATACAATCACAGCTCATATATGACTAGCAGATTCTGAAACGTGGAGTTCCAAAAGTAACTTCCCAAAGCTCTGGTCCAGATGCTATCACCTTACATTGTAACTTCCCTATGTTTCCTATCATTTCTTTGCTGGGTTCTTCCCACCCCCTTCTTTCCAGAAAAATAAAGAAGAAAGTATTTGATATGTGGTGCTCAAAGCTTTCCATTTGGAGACACTCCAACAGGCTTTCCAGGGACTTTCCCATCACATCACTCTTTGAAATGAAAATGGCAGAAACAGATCCTGAAACCCTTTGCATGCAAAGCATGTGTTCCATCACTGAGGTACAGACCCTCCTCTTTTGTAAGGTGGCTTACTGTGTATGTTGTATAGCAAACAACTTCTTCCATTTCAATGGTGAAGGGAGAGAAAGTGATCTGGGTTGTTTTTTTAATTGAATTTTTGAAAGAGTGTGATAGTATTGGGATGGAAAGACAAATCAAAGTGGAGAATAAATAAATGGTATCAGTATATGGTGGACCAAATGGAATTTGAAATTATGGATGTAAAATTAAATGATTCAAAATGTAATGAAAATAGAAGTTGAAGAAAGATGGAACCGGGTCAAGAATTATATTATGAATACATCTAGAGATCAGGCCATAAGAAATAGGATACAAATGTTATACAGTATGTAAATCTAGAAGGATTGTCTTAAAAAGGATTAATATGTAAAAGAAAATAATCCTCATGGTGGTGGGAATTGTAAATGTTGTGTTTGTGTATGCGTATGTCTTAAAATTTATTTATTTATTTACTGTATTTGAACACCGCCTTTCTCAGCCAATTGGCAACTAAAGGCGGTTTCCAACAAATCAGTATACATAAAAGATAATAGACAAAAAAACATTGAGCAGTATGAGACATCATAAAAACAATAAAAGCGAAATTAAAAAAAAGATTTTTAGAAGACTGTCTAAGTATTCTGAGGACCATTACTAATCACTGTTTTGCATGGTGCACATTTCATATGCGCATTTGTAGCAAAAAAAATTGCCACATGACAAGTGCAATATGTGATAAACTCACCATGTATGGTTCTTCTCCTGGCTCACACTGTGGACACTCATGGCACATCCCAGTCGTCTGGTTGTAGTACTCATTTTCACCACAGTTAGAATATTCAGCATTAGCAGAATAAACAAGTGATACCTGTCACCAAAGGGTAAATACAATTTCATTGCCCATTCCTTTCAATATGATCCATTTACTAAAAAGCATACTCTTAGTAGTATCAGGCCAGCCCTGGCATTGGCTGCAGAGAGGCAATCACATGAAGCAGATGTTGGGGCAGTTTCTAGCCATTCCTTCTGAAGACCTATCCCCTTAGCCATTTTTCTTTCTTGATGGATAGAGCTATATGTGCCACACAGTCTGTCCTGCACCTCTGAACTGTTGCAAGTGATTCCTGTCACCATAATGGCTTGAATCCTATTGATGAATTATGTGCGTGTAACCCTAATGGCCCCTGCCCACACTCTAATGACTCCTATGGCCACTAAATGGCTGTGGCAGTGTTCTGTGAATGCTTAGAGAGGTGCATGGAAGGTGGAATGGTACACTCTCCCTGCACATTGTATGATGCTGGCCATGATATAGCTGTCATGACTACCAACCAATCCTCCATTAAATTTGAGTAGCCCCTTTAGAGCCATCCAGGTTGGTGGCTATCACTGCATCTTAGAACACATGACTTCATGAATCAATAAGGACCAGCTTTGAAGATACTGTGCAGATAGTTTAGGTCTAGGTTAAACTTTAACATATGCCCATAGTTGAAATTTCTGCTTTAGCAGTCTTAGTTTGACACCTATATTACCTACCATGAGGAATGGAAACATGTGAAGCCATCGGCATTCTCCCAGGCACACCATGTTATCCTGATTATTTCTCTGAAAAAGAAAGATCACTTGTTATTGGACAACAGAGGTCACTGGGACATTGCAAGTGTAACGGCGCAAGTGGCGCCACCTATGTATAGAACTGTTAGTTATAAGATTTAAACTGTTGTATCATGCTTAATCCTGCCTTTTTACCCTGCTTATGTATAGTTGTATGGATTGGTTGCTTGTAGCTGTCAATCAGTACTGTTTGGCTCCACCTCTTCCTGCAAGAGGGGAGAACTTCCTTTTTCTTCTTCATTCTGCCATCAGAGTTCCTGCAACATGGACATGAGTAAAAGACTTGATTCTAAAGGACCCTGATTTAAGTTACCTCTTAGCACCAGTTCTGAGGTTTTTTACCCCTGGGACTCATGCTTTATGTCCAGATCGTCCTGGACAATTATTGAGGAGACCCAGGCGCCTTCAAGCTGGTTCTTTTGGCACCAAAGGAAGATCCTGAATCTTCAAAACATAGGCCATCTGAACTGGGGTTGTGGTTTGCTCCGGCATTCACAGCCATTGAGGAAAGAGGAAACTTGGTGAGGCTTCTCAGCTTCAAACCCCTTGGACCCAGGACTAATTGAGACTGTAATGTATGTTTTCCTTCACCCCTCTAAAGTTTTCCAGCTCATTGCTTTGAAGAAATGACTTTGTGATAAATAAAACTTATCTTGAGCTATTTACAGCATTTTGGGTTTTGGGGAGTTCCAGTTTCCTATAGGAGGGCAAGAAGCAATCCCCTGGGGGAAAGATGCCACGTCCATCCCTCCTTTATTGAGAATAATAGCCCCCAGGCACGACGGCACAGCAAGACATGTCTACTTTGAAATCAAATGGGGCATAATCATTTATTAGGGAACATAGTAGCGCTGTAATCACGAAGTCCTCTAAATATTATTTGACTAGAGCTCCAATCTGCCCTAACCACCATTAAGGAATGTTGGGAGTTACAATCAAATATCCAGTGGGTTGTGTTACCATTTCACAATTTCTGTGATCCAGGCTTATAATCAAATGAAATACTTTCCATTTTATCTTCTATTTTCAAAAATACTCCATGGATTTTTCTTTTTGCAGGGGATGTCTGCATGGATTAATAAGTTCTATACATTTTGGTTTAAAAGCTTCACTGCTGGAGGCATGGATTAATCAAGACTGTTTCAATTTGTAAAAACATTGCTATGGAGGGAGGAATGGATGAACTGCTATCACTGTTAATTACTTTGGTCTGTACACATGAATCATTGCTAGCTTAGTAAAAGGAAGCAATACGGCGCAAAGGAGTGGGAGAAAGTAATAAAAAACTTCGCATCCCAGTGGACAAAACAATGTGTTCCCCTGAAACTTGAAAAAGACAAGGAGGGGGGTGGTCCAATTTTCAGTTGATCTCCACCAATTAGAGCATATTATTCCAGGAAATGAACAAGACTGAGCAAAACTATTTAATACAAGACAGCTTAAGTTATATTTGGTTAGTATTGGTTTGCTTTCTCTCACAATCCATCCCAATCATCACAAAACAGAAGAAGTAGTATTTTTAAAATGTGTTGTTAAATAGTACAATAAAGCATAGTACATTTTCTATGGCTTAGCAGGGGAGCATCAAAGTGCTATTAAAATTGTAATGATGGCAAAGTATTAAGATAATTAAGGTAGAGGAAACCAGTAGGCCCAGGCCCTATTTCCATTCCTGGCTCATTACAAGGAAATGAAAAAGGATTCTTCCCTTTATGTTGTGCTGCACCAAACTTTTTAGAAACCACTCTTTTCAAATGAAGCTTTATTTTTCGGTACAGTTGCATCAAAAATTCTTAATAATGCTTAATACTAGACTGGCTGGGATTTTAAGCAGAGGAAAAACAATAATTTGCATTCACAAAAAAAGTTGGCAATGCTGAAGCCTGAGTTATTCATTAGAGAAATGAATGAGCAAAAGATACAAATCCAGATTTAATTATTTATGGGGAATACTTCATATTTCACTTGATTGCTGAGTTGGTGTATTTTGTAAGGGAGAAGTGAGCAAGCTTGTTTTCTGCTTCCCTGAAGACTAGGACGCGGAACAATGGCTTCAAACTACAAGAAAGGAGATTCCATCTGAACATGAGGAAGAACTTCCTGACTGTGAGAGCCGTTCAGCAGTGGAACTCTCTGCCCCGGAGTGTGGTGGAGGCTCCTTCTTTGGAAGCTTTTAAACAGAGGCCAGATGGCCATCTGTCAGGGGTGATTTGAATGCAATATTCCTGCTTCTTGGCAGAGGGTTGGATTGGATGGCCCATGAGTTCTCTTCCAACTCTTTGATTCTATGATTCTATGTGAGGGTTTTTTTCCAGGGAGGAGGGCTTTGTAAATCAGCCACTTAATTCTTCTGTATTTTCATTTGTGAATCAGGACCATTTTCACTAGAAGTTACTCTTTTGCAAGTGTGTACATTTTGACTCTTAAGACACTGGGAGACACAGCAGGGGGAAAAAATCTCATTTGTGCAATGTAACATACGCGAATATATACACAGATCTCTATCAGTAAGTGAGCATAGTAGAGTGTTCTGAATGCATCCATTACATGGAGATCTCTGAGCTTCGAATATGGTTTGCAGTTGGATACATCATTGCTTCAGTGTCTTGATCACTAGTCTAATTCAACAGAAATTAAACAGAATTTAAATTTCCCATCTTTCTCCATTACTTATCTTTATGCCAGGAACTGCTGTACGAAAGGGCTGCTAATAGCATTGGATTGCAGCCAATGAAAGGATGCCAACCTGACACACAGAAACACACACTTCAACAGTGATGGTGGTCCAAGTAGACAGCCTAGGCTGACTATGGAAGTATATGAGACATAATAGCTGCTTTGTTTCTATGATTAAGTAGAAAAAGATCTGGAATGTAGTGGAAGATAATTCCGCAGTTGTAGTAAATCAAAAGTGGAACCACAGTGAACAATGGTAACGGTTTGACACCACCTTAATTGCCATGGCATGAATTTTTGATTTTGTACCATGGATATCTACTCTAAGTATAACATCCTACTTTCATCCAAGACATGACAGAAAACTGATTACATTCATTAATTGCTTTCCCCTTTCTTTTTTGAAACTGTGTTTGCGGGCTGGGAAGAAGGAGAGAGGAAGACTTTAAAAATCCTTCCCTGTAGCATGATTAAAAGAGAAACAAAACACGCCAATGTTAATGATGTTGCTGCTCAAACACAGTACACGCTGCAGGGTCTGAATAAATTAAAAATCTTCTGAAGTTTGAGGTGTGGCTCTTGACAGTGTGGTCTGAGCAGAAAACATTAGCTACCTTTCTGGAGGCTCATTTTGGAACTCCCTGACACAATAAGAGCTTACAGACCCCAAATATGTGTTAATACAGTCTTCAGACAACTTGAATCTCTGTCTCCCCCTCTCTCTTTTATTCTTTCACCCACCCACCCACATACACACACATACACATATTTTCTCACATTTAAATCTGACACACTTTAGGCAATGATTAGAGTGCCTAACCAGCAAGCACAGAACTTGCTGCATATGTTCCTTCCAGCGATTGGACTAGCTCAGACAAGTTACTATATGGATGGGGAGTGGAAAGAGATAGACGCCTCTCTCTCTCCCTCTCTCTCTTTCCCATTCACTCTTTCGCTCTTCCTTTAGAATGCAATCTAACCAATCTTGGGCTGCTTTTGAAGCCCTATTGATTTCCACACGAAACAGGGAAACAAGCCCTGAACTTTCTTATGGAGATCCATGCCAGTTCAAAGGGCATCACTTTTGCACTGTGACTCTGAAAATCACTCTATTAAAAGATAGAAAATAAAAACCAGAATGAACAGAGAGGAGACACCCTGTTTTCTTTCCTCTTCCGTGTACCTTCCTTTCTCCCCTCTTGCACTTTTTTGAGGATCGAATATTTATTTATTTATTTATTTGATGTACTTATTGACCGCCATTCTCAGCCCTTACGGGCGACTCATGGCGGTGTACAGTACACATAAAAAGACAGTTACAAAAGGTCGGTAAACAACAACATAACTATACAACCATACACACTACATAAAAATCCGCTTCGTCTCTTAGTAGAATCATAACCAATCTCATCTTCCTTATGCCATACCAGTTTTCATTGCTGTAATGTTGATGCTTCGCACTTAATTGAATGCCCTCTCGAACAGCCAGGTCTTAAGGCTTTTCCGAAAGGACATAAGGGAGGGCGCCTGTCTGATGTGTGCCGGGAGAGTGTTCCACAGCCGGGGGGCCACCACTGAGAAGGCCCTCTCCCTCGTCCCCGCCAGTCGTGCCTGTGACGCAGGCGGGATCGAGAGGAGGGCCTCCCCAGACGATCTCAAGGTCCTCGTGGGCTCGTAGGCCAAGATGCGGTCGGAAAGGTATTTTGGGCCGGAACCGTTTAGGGCTTTGTAGGCCAAGACCAGCACCTTGAATTGGGTCCGGTAGCAAATCGGCAGCCAGTGGAGCTGGGACAACAAGGGCGTTGTGTGCTCCCTGCTACCCGCTCCCGTTAGTAACATGGCTGCCGCACGCTGAACCAGCTGAAGCTTCCGGGCCGTCTTCAAGGGCAGCCCCACGTAGAGAGCGTTGCAGTAATCCAGGCGGGATGTGACAAGAGCATGTACCACCGTGGCCAAGTCAGACTTCCCGAGATACGGGCGCAGCTGGCGCACGAGCCTGAGCTGTGCGAATGCTCCCCTGGTCAACGATGAGTCCAGGGTCACACCCAAGCTGCGAACCTGAGCCTTCAAGGGGAGTGCGACCCCGTCCAGCACAGGCTGTAACCCTATACCCTGTTCGGCCTTGCGACTGACCAGGAGTACCTCTGTCTTGTCTGGATTTAATTTCAGTTTGTTCGCCCTCATCCAGACCGTTACAGCGGCCAGGCACCGGTTCAGGACCTCGACAGCCTCCTTAGTAGCAGGTGGAAAGGAGTGACAGAGTTGGACATCATCTGCGTACAGATGACACCGCACCCCGAAACTCCGGATGATCT